GAATTAATGTGATCTTTTTTTAGCATATTAGAAAGACGTAAAGAACAACCTCACCAATTTTCATCAATATTGTACTATTTTAAGATAGCTCTGATACATCCTCGTTGTGACAATATTGGGCTGTTAGTAGACGTATCTAAACCCGCTCTAAGCTGCGCGTTTGTGTCTACAATCATTTCTTTAATAATAAGCATGATGAGTAAACAGAATGTGCCTGTCTCGGTTGCACAACACATAATTATTAAATTTTTAATGCACAAATATGTTAAATTAGCTAAAATTTTGTGCAGATTACATGTACAGTTCGGTAAGAACACATTATCGAAGTTTCAAGTATGCAAATGGCATAAGTTTTTTTGTGAAGATCGCGAAGAAGATGCAAATTTGATTTATGCGTGTCGACCAAGAACGAGCATTATACCTGAGAACATTCAACAAATTTGCGACTTTGTGGAAGACCGACGAATAACTGTTCGTAAAATTAATAAAGGGATTTATATAATGGCATACTTATGGAAGTGTAAACAATCATTGAGAATGAGTTACGATTTCGAAAAGTCACTGCACAATGGGTGTCTCAAATTTTGAATGCAGATCAGAAGGCCGTAAGAGCCGAAATCTCTCAGAGGCTTTTAGATCGCCATGCAACAGAAGGAGACACATTTTTGATGTGCTTTTTGATGTTCTCACATATGGATTTGTTTAGACCTCTTAAAAAAGCCTTAGCGAGAGAAAGATTTTCCAACGACGATGAGGTAGAAGACTTCGTGCGCAATTGACTTCGTACTCGTCCTGCTACTTTTTATGAAGCAGGGATAAAAAAACTGCCAATGCGGTGATAAAAATGCGTGAACATTGGATGCTATGTAGAAAAATAATTTTGTGTTAGTTTTCACGTGTATTAATCGAATAAATAATTTTTAAATAAGTCTTGTTTATATTTGATCCGCCCTAGTACTTTGTGTTATTGATTATTTATATAAAAGCAAACTTGTTAATTCTAAAATTTTAGAATTCTACAATAAAGTATACTGTAGTTTTACACAATCATCTCTGCACTCAATAAACACGCGCGTGGCAAATAATTCCATAAATTTCTGTTTTTATAAAAATGATACGAGCACTCGTCGAATTCCTTGTAAAACTAAGAAGTTTTGTGAAAATCAATTTATTTATTTTATCTGTTAGCAATAACAGATGACAAATCAGTACGTGTGTAAATGTAGTTACGAGCCTGAGAGCGCGAATTCTACGCAATATTATTGGCGAACTTTGATCATATATAACTCAAAAACTATTGTAGCCACGATATTTTTGTATTAAGATTTTTGACTCCATTTTGCCTCTAGAATACGCTATTAAAATATTGTATGGAGGTTGTGAGACACCCTGTATATATATATAGAATATTAAGTTGGATTAATACACACTTAGATTCTTACACTTACTTACATACACTTTCAATCTGCCCAATTGTAAATTGCTGCCCTTTGTTTCATGTCATCATATGAGACATAGCCGTAATAGCAATTTAAGCGGCATCTACAATAGAGATTTTAAGCCCTAAGCCTTAAGAAATTGACCAATCACAGTCAAGTATGAGGAGAACACTCGACTGTGATTAGTCAATTATATATGTCTCATATGATGACATGAAACAAAGGGCAGCAATTTACAATTGGGCAAATTGGAAGTGTATGTAAGTAAGTGTAAGAATCTAAGTGTGTATTAATGCTGTAAGACCGGGATAATGGCGTCTTTGTCAGGATGACGCGCAGGAAACCCTGTGGCTGGTTGGAGTGTCCGTAAATTACGGCAACAATTAACTTTTACTGAACTCTATATTTAACAAACGCACGATGTACAACGTACTACGACTCTCTCGCGACTCTCTCTTGCCACCCGGGAACACCCTGTATATTTCGCATAAGTACGTTATCACAAATTACATCACGTTTTGTGTAACCTGCATTATTTCTTCTGATTGGATTTTTTAATACATTATCGTTGTTTTCTACCAAATCTGTTTCTATTGGTAAATCATCGTCATTGTGCAACAAATAGATGTGTAAAACACAACATGCAATGATAAATTCGGGAATTAAATCTACACGTTCCATATCGAGTATTGACAACAATAAAGCTTCTAAATCTTCCTTGTAGTAAGCCAAATGCACGTTTAATAACAGTTCGAGCGAATGAATGGCAGAAATGGTCATTTTTTTGTTTATTTGTTAGGTGCCCATTATCCCGATATAGTGTCATTAAATGTTCATGAAGAGAGTATATGCTGCATCGCCTACTAAATGGCTATTATTATGAAACTTTCCTGGATCTTCTAAATAATTATGAACTTCAGACAAACGAAATACACATTGATCATGGACAGAATCAACGTGTCCAGCAAGACAGTGGATAAATCGTCGTTCATGGTCACAAACGGCCTGTTAATAATAAATAAAAAATTACGATTAATTATATAACTACATTTTAAAAAGACATTATAATTTCAATTACTTGTAATTGTACTATGATTATTGACATATAGTATGGATTCCTGATGGCAGTGGAAGGAGTAATCGCATGAGTAGAGTGAGAGGCAGATAATATGACATCACTTCCATCTCTTTCTAATAAAGTCTGATTGGATCAGCAGTACTGCTGATTTTTTGTCAACCAATCAGGCTTTATTAGAAAAAGACGGAAATGACCTTATACTATTTGCCTCTTACACTACTCGTGCGATTACTCCTTTCACTGCCAGCAGTCCATTCTATATGTCGATGACTATGATGTCTTTTTCTATTAAGATTCAGGATAAACATGTGGTGCTTTTATATTAATGTGCCATTAATTGCTATTATTATTCCGGAAAAAGTACTAGCTGCAGTAAATCTCATCATAACTTCTTATGCTCTATTGCCTTCTGGCCATGTAAATAGAGGATACAATTTGGCAATTGCTTTTGACACTCTTTTTACAGCTCTTAATACACTAACTCTTCCAACATTGAATTTCTCACAAATAGATCTATAAATAATTAAACCATGCAACTTTTGTCTGAAACATTTTTTGATATCTCACTTCGTTTCCGGAAAATATGCCCGCGTCACTATAAATGCCGCACCCTGTATATATATATATATATAGAAGTAACGCGTTACTTGTAACGCCGTTACCGTTACAGTTACTTTTTTCGGTAACTGTAACGGTAACAATTTACAAATTATTTACGGCGTTACAAATTTTGTTTGTAACGGAAAAATTAACTTCGTTACATTTTTCGGTAACGAGTAACGAATTTAACAGTTACTTTTATCGTTACTTTTTTTTAATTTACTCGGTATAATTTTCATACAAAGGAAAATATTGATAAGAGTGTTGGAATGCAGCATTACATGAAAACTACTGAAAACTCATTTTGGTATCTTGTTTCTTTGTAAGACAATGTTTAAAAATTTTTAGTGTTTAATTTGATCTTGTATTAAAAAAAATTGTATGTAAAGTTATTGTTATATATAAAAAAACTAACGGAAATTGTAACGACTCGTTATTTTTTGAGTAACGATGACGGTAACAAGTTACTTTTTAAAATTGGTAATGAGTAACGGTAACGAGTTACTTTTTAGAAAAAAGAACGGTAACGGTAACGAGTTACTTTTATAAAGTAATTTTCCCAACCCTGTATATATATAATATAAAGCATTAATCAAAAATGTACTGCATACGCAAAAAAAACGATTTGCGCTGCATTTTCACTTTCGAACGTTGTGAAAGTGTGCAAAAAGGATATTGCTGTGTATGCAAATACTTACGAGAAGTGTAAAATAAAACAGTGGTCTGAATAAGTATACTTTGGACTATGTGACATCGATACATTCTCTATTTTGTAATGCTGTTCAAGGAAACGATTCCTGTGCGCTTACGCAACGCAAAATATAAACTTGCTAATATATTGTGCTAATATACGTATCTTAAGAAGTCTATCTTCATTATTTATCTTAGGCCAAATACTTTTAATATAGATTCTCTCGGAGTAAAAAAACATTTTTATCGATATTTTATAGGTACTACTCTCTCTCTCTCTATTAATTATATCACAGTAAATACTTCAATATACCAATTTAATACTTTAATATGTATATATGTATTATTTTTTATTTCATTACATATTTTACAATGAATACATAAATTCGCTGCGTAATCGTGCGCGCGAACGCAAGCTCGATTGCAGGATTGCGTTTTAAAATTACTCCTTGGAGCTAAAAGTAGCGTTCGATCTCGATTACAATCAGGACGAAAAAAACAAAAAACTTCTTTGTCCTGATTGGTCAATCTCAAATGCTACTCTATTCCAAGAAGTAAATTTTGGAATATAAGATCTCGTGGAGCGCAATTGCTCTCTATAACAGATTTCCGTGTCGTATTCCTGTTGTCGTGTTGCTCGATTCAGTGTTGCCGGATCGTAGGATCATGGAATCCCCACCATTTGACATCGTACGGTTCTTCCTAGTAGGCAATATTCGTTAGATGGGCAGGGTTTTTTTGCGCATGCGCGTTGAATGTGGTATCAATGAAGTAGTTAATCGAATGAAACGAGGTCCTGTATGGCCCCCGTTTAATTCTTTTCAAAAGTTATTTAAAAAATTTTGAAAATTAATTAAAAACAAAATAAAAAATAATATTCACAAATTATATTTATTTCTTTATTTATTTACATAGCTATTTAACTTATCTTCTGCGAGATCCCGCTAAAACTGAAATGCCCTTTCACATATACGTAACTGTAAACGTCATCGTTACGTTACGCATGCACGAAAAACCCGGCTTGTCTAAAAAAACTAGGCTTTTTCTAGCAACGTTGACCGGACGTTTATGAATGCCATTTACGAAAGACGCCCAGCGATTAGCCGCTACTATATGAACTTCGTTTACTATACACATACACATTTAAATCTATGATATTCATCGTCAGACGTTTTTCATTTAATGTGGTGGGAGAAGTATATGTTTCATGAACTGGGGCAACTGGCGGCACTACCCTCGGCTCAAACTCAAACTGTCTCTATCCTTCGTTCGTCCGCGCGTGTTCAATCTGGTCCAATCGAAACTGATCGAAACACTTGATGTATTAGAGGCATTAGCAGGCATCCACGATAATTCTAATATAAGCGTTATCCAGCAAAAATATTATTTATATTCAGCGAGAAAGAGAGCAATTAGGAGCTATTAGAGAGCAATGGCATCGCACGTAACGGAATTTTACAATGGCAAGAGTATATTTATTACCGGTGGTACCGGTTTCCTTGGCATCTGTTTGATAGAAAAACTCCTGAGATGCTGCCACGGTGTCACGAATATTTATCTGCTAATTCGATCGAAGAAGGGAAAGGAGATTACGGAAAGATTGGAGGAATTAACGAAAAATTCGGTAAGTAGCATATCGAGATTATTGAGAACGTGGCACTTACGTTCTTTTCATTATATTTTTTTATTTTTATTTTATATACT